ATTTCAGGAGTTCAGCCAAAAATGCGGGATACTCCCGAAAAATCGGGGTACATGTACTTGGCAAGTATGCACTTCCCTTAGATCTAGACACATTCACATCCGGCTGCATGCATTCTCTTCTTTCTGCGGACATTTCGGATTGTGGAGCTCTGTGCCTGCTTCAGTCGAGTAATGACCGACTAGGGAGTGTTGAGAGCCAGTTGTGCTTTTGGGAGCAGAACTGCAGACTGCAGTGTCTCGTGTGCGGGAAAGGGGATCGCGTGAATGCAACCAATTCTATTACGTCGTTCTCATTGGAGTGTTTCACATCGTACATGCATAAGTCAATTAGAGATGACTCTACGTTTCATTTGGGTGAAGTGCTACACCGGCTTGCTACACACGCTCGCTGTGTCTAGTAACACCAGTGCGTTTGCATCTCTCAGCTCGGGCCATTCGGCTGCGTGCGCGCAGATCAAATTTGCATATGCGCCACAGCTTGGCCCTTTGGTTCGAGATGGAAACTTTCAAACTTCAACAACGGTGCCATTCGGGTCGTGTTCTTCGCGTGCTCGACGCAGAGGGAGGTCCGAGTACCTAATTTAATTCACTTTGGTCGCCCGAGGAAAGTGGACAAGTCCTGTCTCTTCACTCTGCAGGTTGCACACGCGTCTCTTTTACTGAGGCTCTCCAGAGAATTACGCAAACATGTTCCGATTATCAGTGACTGACTCGCGGTGTCTTTTGTGGAACGAACAACTTGATGAAATGATTGTCAGAGGGAAACACTTGTCTCGAATGCACAGCTCCAAAACTTTCTTCGTTTGATGCTGCTTGGACACCGCAAGGGGTCATATTTTAACTGTCTTCCGGAATAATGTAGTGTGCCGACATCATGATTCGATTAGAACCTTGAGACACATGCACGTTTTCATCGGCCGTGGTTTGGTCCGTGTTCCACATCTCCCCTTTCTCGTCAGCTGTGCAAACCTGGACCAGAACATGGGGTGAGCACTGCCCTGTGCTGAATCTACAAACACTTTGTATAAAATTTATCGCTTTTTCTTCGTTTTCTTTGGGCATACACCATAATTATCATATACATGTGCATGTGCATGACTGTCCTCCGGTATGCACTGGCTGTAGCAAACCACCCAGGAGAAGAAAGAAAAACAGGAGGAGAATAAGGACAGGAAAAACGTGTGTGACCATGATTGTGGGGAATTAAACCCCTGACCTCTCCATTGTAAATCGATTGCGTATACCACTGCACCATAGGGGACCCGCATGTGCGCGTGCGCACACACACACACGTCCAGTACACACCGAGAGAGATAGAGGACAGATAGATAGATAAATAGATAGATCGACCGAGAGAGAGAGAGAGAGAGAGAGAGAGAGAGAGAGAGAGAGAGAGAGAGAGAGAGAGAGAGAGAGAGAGAGAGAGAGAGAGAGCGAGAGAGAGAGAGAGAGAGAGAGATAAGATAGATAGATAAAGAGATAGATAGATAGATAGATAGATAGAGAGAGAGAGAGAGAGAGAGAGAGAGAGAGGCGGAGAGAGATGGAGAGGGAGAGAGAGAGAGAGGGAGAGATAGATAGATAGATACAAACAATACCATTGTCCCAATGCCACGTCTTCACTTCGCTCATATGCACTAACTTCCACACTAGCATCAAATATCTAGGCCTGCTCGTAGAGAATTCGATAGTGAATGCTGCTGTCTGATGATCGCTCCGATGCGTGAAACTTTAAGTTACAGCTAACACAGCCTTTCGCCTCTGTTGTGTGTGTAGATAGATAGATAGATAGATAGATAGATAGATAGATAGATAGATAGATGGATGGATGGATGGATGGATGGATGGATGGATGGATGGATGGATGGATAGATAGATAGAGAGAGAGTGTGTGTGAGGCAGGGCATCTTCACCTACATTGCAGCCTTCCCACTTGGCCAGGCGGTAGTGGAAGTTCTTTTCTGTACTCTGGATTAGAAAGCAAGGAAGGTGCTTGCTGCAGGTGTACCCCGTCACGTGATACCGCAGTACTTCATATACTTTGAAGTACTACTACAACCAACAAACGACCGCAGATGCATGTATTAGAGTTGTATGTATTTCCTTCCCTCTTCTATTCACAAGTTGTATCAGTAGCTGAACATCATGTACACGTATACTGGATCAATTATTGTTGATGCTGATGACAAGTGCTTCCAATATTCGGTACCAGCACAGTCACGTGGATACGAAGGTCTGGAACGTCAGAACACTTGTGTCTGGCCTGCGCTGCCAACTGCTCAGATAGACACGAATCATTTAATTGGGATAGTCAGCTCACCTCACACAATGGGACTACAGCGCGTATCGCCTACATGTATAAAGTTGGCGCCTAGGCTATAGTAACATACCGGCTATGGATCAAGTTTTCAAATTCATTTCGTTTGCCATGACTGTTTGCCCAGTTATCGCGTGTAGTAATACTCGTCTACATGTATATCGGAAATGTCTTTTGAAACTGATGAATTTGATCACTGAAGGCGATAAAACATATCGCTTATACTAAGTTATACTAGCGATCAAGTTCATTTTCAAAACACAATTAATTTTTTTATTACATTATTTTTGCATCGGTTAAAGTTATTGTATCCTAACCCCTACTGACCTTTATCACCGTGGTTGGCTATCACCCACTCTCTTCAAATGGCCGGTGTTTCCACTGGCCCACTGGGCCTTGGGATGCTGCAATAAATAATAATACTAGTAATATTCATACATGTAGGTAGAGGGAATGGAAAAGGGGAAAGTCTGAAGAAAAAATTGACTGTCACCACGAGGAATTGAACCAGGGACCTTCCGCTTGAGGTCAGCGATGCTCTAACCACTAAGCTACAATGTATGGTGTAGCTGTCATCCCAGCAGAGGCCGTTCAACATTTTCTTCAGACTTCGAAACTCACCATACTAGTACGGTCATAAAAATCGTTGTGGCTTCAAGTGTTGTCAGAGGTCTGGGCAGAGAGAAAGAACTAGTTCGAACTGCGTCCATTTTACGTACCAGTCAGTACACAGTAACTGAGTAAGTACAAAGATTAGTAGCATCGGACTTAGTGATTATCGCATTCTACTCGAAGCTGAGAGCACGACTGAGAACAGTCACGGTGTTCTTCTAATGCAACGTGCAGACGTTTAGGTAGTGCACTGCACGTAGAGTCTACTCTCTAGATCGTTCTAAGATCGCGTGCACTACCAGAGAAAAACAGTCCTCCGCGCACACATCACACGTAAATTTGGTAGGGTATAAGTATTTTTCATTCTAATTGCACAGCCAGCATGACATGTCACATGACATGTCACATGGAGGTCATTGCGCGCGTGGACCGAAGTTCCATGCGGGAGACACTGCATTATCCTTTCGTCCGAATCGTCTCGGATCTTCACCCTAAGTACAATACGTGAAGGGAGAAAGAACACGAACTTAGAGTGTGCAAAGTTCAACTCGGATGGTCAGCCAATTAAATGATAGTGAAAAAGGAGAAGGACAAAATGTTACGAGTTATGACTAACTGTCCACCAACGTAACCAGATCTTATACAGTCAGCGAGTGCGACACAATGGCACAAAACTGACAAGGAGTACTGAGACATTCAGCGACCTGACACCTAGCTCCAACACTTCGCCAAGGCGCAAACCGACAACCTTCCAACTTGGAAAGCTCAGGTTCGGAAAGGTCCAAGAGGGGAAGGAAAGCGCAACGAAGAAGAGCATGAGCTACGCATCACGGCAACAAAGAATGCCGAGAGTTACTGGATGATGACGAAACTAGTAAGACTATTGGACATACCGGCCTTACTACAACTGGACGGCGCAAAGCAACAGAGCACCCAACTAGGGAGGCTCACGTTTATGTAATAGACATAGAAAGGGGAAGCCAAGCGAAGACAAATTGTGACAAACCGAAACGTCAACACCCTACTGAACTCCACTATGACTGTATAAGATCTGGTTACCATGGTTACGTTGGTGGATAGATAACTGTTCGTCATAACTGGTAACAGTTACATGTTGTCCTTCTCCTTTTTCACCATAACTTAGAAGTTAGAGTGTGTTCCTCGTTGGAACAACCAACTTCAGGAGAAAGAACAGTGGAACAAATTAATATGATTCAAACAAGTTTGGGTACAACACTCTTCAGGACTCACCGTTGTACAAAAGAACTAATCTGAACAAAGGAAATGATAAAACAGAGAGAGAGTCCAGGCTGTCCAAGAGAGTGCTCAATACCGATCGGCAGAGCTAGTCCAAACAATAAGAGGACGGGGAAAGTGCTTTAACTCTGAGTTTCACGCACTAAGCGATCATCAGAAAACAGTGATGAGCAAATCGGGATCAGTACTGGTTTACAACAACCAATGCAGGGTAAGCAGGAGACAATGGCAGCACTAACAAGTGAGAAAGTACACCCCTACAGTGCTATCATTGCGTCCTGCGTACCCTCTCTTGGCAGTTACAGTGTATTATCATTTCCGTTGTTCTGTTTTAAAAGGATTGGGAGAATTGAGAAAACTCCTTCAGCTGTGCTCCCCGGTCACAGCTTACACAATGCGCACCATTCTGATTTTCACTCACGTTCTGACGGAACGGTGAACGTGGGTGACTTGAGCCTTCACACACGGTATACTTCCGTGTAGACTGTAGAGTATTATAATTTACATGTAAAAACATCTAGCTGTGCAGCACATGGTTCCGCTGCTAGACGGACCGCTCGTACGCACGCTATGCCACTTGAATGAAGCCTCGCCAAGCTGTTCCACCGGTCATCAGGTCATAGGATCAGTATAAAAGCAGGACGCACGGCGCAGTTTGTTCAGTCCTGGCAGCAGACACCAAGGAGATGTGTAGTGCTCTAATTGTCCGGAGTCGTGCAAACTAAGTGTTCTGGTTTCACTGAGAGTAAGTGTTTGTTCAGTGTGTTTGAATTTTATATTTCATATTTTAGGTGAAACCTTATCGTTTTCAGAGATGAAACCGTACCCGGACAGTGAACCAACTGACAGTGAATCAACTGACAGTGATGCTACGGTAGCAAGTGAGTTAATCGTCCAGAAGATCGTCGCCTCAAATGCCAACACGCCCAAGCCAAAGCAGAAGAGAAGCAGGGCTCCAGCTGGCTACACAGCTGAGGAGAAGCGTGATTGGAGGCGGAAAACGGCCAGTAAGAGAGAATGCCGACGGATAAAAGACGTGCGCAAGAAACTGGAGGAAATGAGATCCATGTTACCTCAAGGCGAAAACGACGAAAAGCTCACCAAGTTGCAAGTCGTCCTGGGTTCAATAGAGTACATCAGAGACCTCAAAAGTATGGTCGACGGTACATTCAGGTGTAGTGCGAGCAGCGGTGAAGAATCAAAATGTGGCTCACCGTCAGTTGGCCTATCGGAAATGCAGAGAAGCCCCATAGCCAATAGCGGCTCCGTATCTTCAAGCATCCTGTCATATCAATTGAGCGGTAAGCCGGTTGATGTGCCGCCCCAGTTGGATCATGCCCTGTCCGATGACGTGTTTGTACACGAATCGCCAATGACGGAGATGTACAAGTATATGTTTGCGGAGAGTAAGCCATTCGCAGTCCACGAACCTCATTATGGATTTTATCATATTTCCCAAGAAAGCGAGTTGGATACGTACTTTGATCAGCTGATCTCAGGCACTCATCCATCACTACTGGGCCACCAATTCCGAGCAATGCCGGATGAGCTTGGATGCTGTCCAAGGACCTTTGCCAGCATGCCCGGTACGGTGAACTACCCTACCGGTTTTCTGGATGTGTTACCACAATGTACCAACGCGTTCGGGCCTTGAAATCTGGCGTCGGAAAATTTATTCATTCAGCGGCTATCACTTTTGGCCTCATTTTCTCTGTGCTGCGCTGATGAGTCCACAAAGGACGAAACAGTTCTGTCTGTAGATTGAGTAGAAACTATAATTATGGAAACTAGTTACTGGTAAACACTTGAATGCAGTTCACTTGATGAAAGTCACTAAATTAGCTTTGAATTACAATGTCATGTACTTGAGAGCTTTGGAGGCCATTGTTCTTACAAGACTGTGATCGTATTTATGTCACTGAGTTGCATGGTGTGGTGATGTCTGCAACATTGATGACACTATTCACAATGCTCTCATAAAAACTATTACAGAGTTTCAATTAATTAAATAACTCGGATACTGAACAATAATAAAATTTTAATGTAATGTGCTCTGTTATCGCACTTTCTGACTGCACCTTATCATGTTACAGTCGTGGACAGTTGCTTCATAACTCGTTCCAATGTGTTCTCTTCTATTTTACATTACAGAGTTTGTCTAGACTAATGGATATTTTATACATTGGGGCTCCCCGCGTGCTAATTTAAATTGCTTTGGAGTGTTGTTATTAGATGGCTGTGATCAACAGCTACTATTTATTTCACTGAGTTGCTTTGTGTGGTGATGTCTGTTACAGAATTTGTCTAAACTAATGAATATAGACAATTATTAATTGTGCGTGAAGTGTGTGGGTTAGCCCTTTCCCAAAGGTGCTTGCCCTTTTTTCGCCCTTTTTGGAAAAGCCCGTTTCTTTCGCCCTTTATTGCGTTTTTGGTGAATATCGCCCTTTTTGAGCTTTTTTAGCTGAAAAAGTGCTAAAATCTGTTTGCTCATGCATGCGGTCACAGTTTCTGAGTGCTCGATGTGGATGGGCCTTGGCACGCCGAATTTTCGGGGGGGGGGGGACAACAAGTTGGTGAAGCTTGTACCCGGTGTACAGAATGCTGTAAAAAGTGGGTTTTTTGAACTTTACTTCCTGTTTTGCCTTTCGTGGACCCACAAATGGAAGAGCGCGTATTCATTTCTCAGCTTGGGTTCATATCTGAACATGTATCATGGCTATCCTTCACTGGAAAAAAGAGCACTTTTTGCCTGTTTTCACTGAAAAAAGAGCACTTTTTCACCATATTTTGAGGGACGCGAAAAGCACTAAGTGCGAATTAAAAGAGCACCTTTGGGAAAGGGCTAGTGTGGGTGCAGTGAGGGCTTAGTCCCAGCCGCCTGTGTAGTGTTACAGGAAGCGTGAGTTTCAAAGTCTGAAGAACATGTTGAGCGATCTCTGCTGGAATGACAGCTACACTGCATAGCCCAGTGACTCGGGCAGTGAGCCATGGTTACCATGGCTACTGCAGTAATGAGCACGGTTTGCCAAACGTTACAATACATGTATACTTTGAAGTTTCAAAGGAAGCAGACAAGCATAGTGGGATGGTCTAAGACCAGGATTGAGGAACAGAGGGTACCATGTTCAAGTCCTGCTTGGAAGCGGAAAGATATTTTCCAGCCGTGCTGCGACCCACAGTTAATTGGGAACTCGTGGCCTGGCACGAGGGAAGCATGGATGCAGCGAATGGGATTTTCAGTCTTTGACTACTTTGTGGTGGATCGACCGGTCTGATCTCAAGTAAAAAGGCAACATTGCCTGTTGGGAAATCCCTAACAAAATAAGAAAAAATAATAATAATAATAATAATAATCTCTTCACCTCCCGACCCCACCACTCTGCACTTTGATCCTTGAAGGGTGGTGGCATTCCTACGGATGCGGAACACCCGACCTCGACCTCTAGAGGTTTCGACCTCATTTTTTCTCTATTCAGGCAGTTCACTTCCCCGACTGATCTTTGAAAAATTAAAAAAAATGTCACGGTTCGCGTCATACCGGAAGTGAACTGCCTGATTAGAGAAAAAATGCCAGATCCACCTGGACTCGAACCCGGGACCTTGCTTGTCATGAGCAATGCTCTAACCATCAGAGCCATGGGACCAGGTCGAGCCCAGAGAGCGCTGACAAGTGCAATGAGTACACCAGGAATACTGAGAAGGCTGAACTCATATGCCAGTACACTTCGCTGATAAATGTAGCCTTGAGAGTGACTTTGACACCTCCTGCGCAATGCCCCCTGTTCGCCCACGTTCCCAGAACTCACTCACTACTATCCACTTCCGCCCAGCCACAGTCCGCCGCACCTTGCTTGCTCTCAACCCCAGCAAGGCCACTGGACCTGACTCAATACCGGCCAGGGTCCTGAAGATATGCGCCGAACCATTGGCTCTCCCACTTTCCCGGCTATTTGCCCTGTGCTTCCACAATGGCTATCAACCTGAAACCTGGAAACTTGCAAATGTTGTCCCTGTTCTCAAAAAAGGGTGAAAGTCCAATCCCAAGAATTACCGACCAATTATTTCCCTGTTGTCTGTCATGCCCAAATGCAAGGAGTCAATAGTCAACTGTGGTCTGTCCAACTTCCTGCAGAAGAATTATATCCTGCCGTCGCGGCAATTAGGCTTCTACGCCGGACTTGGCACATCAGATCTTCTGATCGCGCTCCAGCATGAGTGGTACCAGACACCTGCCCAGGGAGGCCTTATGAGGGTGCTCGCAGTGGACATCGCTGGGTCCTTCGACAAGGTCTCACACCCAGGAGTCCTTCACAAAGCAGAGCAATACGGTATCAAAGGATACCTGCTCTGTTGGTTGCAGAGTTATCTCACTAGCCGCAAGGTCAAAGTTGTCATGGGCAGCCAGGCCTCCACTACACGTGACATCCAGTCAGAGGCGCCGCAGGGCAGCATCCTCGGCCCAACCCTGTTCCTAATCTACACCAGCGATGCAGAGGACCACCTACCTGAAGAGGCTAAGCTCGCAGTATAATGCCCACGACACCACAGTATATTTATTTATTCAACATCTCCTGGCCCGTCCGAAGACTGCCAATAAACATGAGAGGTCAGGTGATAGCCAACCACGGCAAGCTAAAAAGGGAAAAAAAAGAAAGATGCTGTCAGAGAGGGAAAGGAGATAGGGAGAGAAAAAGAAAGGGAGGCACATTAATAATACATGGGATCACTTCGGATGAGACAGTGTGGAAAGCTGGACTGTGAATTTCCTGATATCCTGGCATGTCTTAATGCTAGTAGGCAGGTTAGACCAAAGGGAGTATGCTGAGAAGAAAGGGGATTTCAAAAACAGAGAGGAACTAGCTCGGGGCAGTGATAAGGCATTGCGTGTTGGTCTAGTGGTAACAAACCAGTTGTACTTGGCAATATGTTTCGGGACTTGGGCTAGGAAGATTTTTTGCACAAGGATACAAAGATGCTGCTGATGTCGGGCAAGAAGAGGGTGCGTGGAAGCAAGTTTATAAAGACAAAGGGAGGCAAATGTTTGGTCTTTTCGAAACAGAATTTTCAGAAGCAAGCGTTGATGTACCTCCAGTCTGTGGAGTAAAGTCTGAGACAACCCGCACCAAGCGCAATAGTCAAATATAGGCAAAATGTACGACTTAAAGAACAATTCTCTGCAGTTATCATTCAAGTGTTGGCAGTGGGGTTGTAGCATACCTAAGGACGCACTCGCACGCTTGCACACAGACTGGACTTGTGGAGACCAGGAGAGTTGGCGGTCGAGAATAACGCCCAGGTGCTTGTGCTCGTTAACAACTTTAATAGGTGTACTATTTAGACCAGGAAAATACAGAAGTTGAGTGGGGGGCGAGGGAGAGAAGAACATGGCCTCGGTTTTGGCGAGGTTAGGCTTCAGTTTCCAGGTTTCCATCCATGTTACTGTAGCGTTGACCCCGGACTGCATGGAGGCCGTGAGGTTGTCTGCCGAGCTGTCGGAGCACATCAGAGCAGTGTCGTCAGCAAAAAGACTTACATTTGGTACAAGGGCTGGCAAGTCATTAACGTACAGTAGAAATAGGAGCGGCCCAAGTATGGACCCCTGGGGTACCCCAGACACGACTAGTAATGGGTCTGATAGGGAGGTAGATACTCTGACAGTCTGGTGGCGGCAGGAAAGATAGGATGAGAGCCATTGCAGGGCTGGACCGTGTACCAAGAAGACGGACTCTAGCTTTGCAAGCAGACCACGATGCCAGACGGTGTCGAAAGCTTTCGCTAGGTCAAAGAACACGATGCCAACATGCCGCCTGAGGTTCCGCTGGGTGTAGATGTCTTGTACTAGACGTGTTAGTTGGAAAGTTGTGGAGTCTCCACGGCAGAAACCGGATTGAGATGGTGAAAGCGCTGGGGTGACGTGGCAGTACAGAGACTCAAAGAAAATACGTTCACAGACCTTGGACACAGCGGGAAGGAGAGAGATTGGTCTGTAGTTGCCAGCCTGAGAGCGTTGGCCTTTCTTATAGATCGGGACGATAACAGCAGATTTCCAGACGGACGGAAATACTCCTGTACGATATGACATGTTAAAGAGCAGGCACAAGGGATAGGACAGAGATGGCGCAAGCCATTTGAGAACCTCATTGGGTATGCCATCTTCGCCAGGGGACTTACAATTCTTCAGGAGTTTGAGGTGCTTACAGACGGTAGCAGTCGTGGTAACGACGCGTGTGAGTGGTGCGCTAAGTTCAGGGGCTGGGGACAGCGATGGAATGACCCAATTCGGATCTTCCGGAATGCCGGATGAAACAAACTGCTTGTTCAGTGTGTCTGCAATCGCCTTCACATCGTGCTGGCGGGTGCCATTGGAGTCCGTCAGGTACTGGATTGGCGCGCGGGAGGTCCCGCGGCACTGGTTGCGAATGAATTAGTGGAGTGATGGGCGATCGGGGGAGGAGAGTGTTGCAGAAAGAGAGTTTAGAAAGGAGCGGTGTGAGGTACGAGAAAGGTGCTTGACGAAGTTGCGTTGAACTCGGTAAGCCTCCCGGTTAACCGGCGTTGGGAATTTCTTGTAGATGCTGAAAAGATCACGCTTGCGCTTCACTTCAGATACGAGGGACCGTGTCACCCATGGGGGACTAGATGTCGAGGATGTTGGGTTGGAATGTTTCCGGTTGTTGTAGCCGATAGCAAAGTTAGAGAGGTGCTGTTGGAACCCTCGTTCAAGGACGGCTGCAAAGTGATCTACCGCGGCGTCAACAGTTGGAGAGCCTTCTGGTTGCAGAAACGACCAGTCGTGGCAGGAGAAATCAGCGTTCATAGAGTCCCAGCACTGAGAGGGAACTCGACGGAAGCGATATGGGAACGGTTTGCGAGAAGGAAGTGGCAGGTCTGGATCCGAGGGCAATGAGACGGCGAACTGGCATGAAACCATGAGATGGTCCGAGGAGCCAAGAGCGCAAGCTGTGTGAACGTCCGTCGCCAGCAGGGGTTGGTTCGTGAAGACAAGGTCTAGACATGACTGTGTTCCGGAAGATGTTGTGTGCGTTGGACTCTGCACCAGCTGATCCAAACCGAAGCAGGTAAGGGTGCGAAAAAGTGCCGCCCCAGCAGGACACGTTAAATCCGATGGGCACCACCGTTTGTGCTTACTGTTGAAGTC